CTCGTGATACGAGGGCAAAAATGCACAAATGTCATCGCGGGAGGAAAACAAACGTTTTACATCGAGGAAAAACGTTCATCGATGTGAGATTCAATTCCAAACTCGAATTGAGTTCCCACACTCATCACAACACACTCTCATGAACATTAAAATCTGTAGTTATATCTACCATGAACAATTAGATCAAAAATTCCTTACGACTTGTTCATATCAATGACAACTTTTCCTCGAACACGACGACTCTTCTGCAGATCAAAGGCCTTCCTACAGCCCTCCTCATTGAAGGGCAATATCTCCTGTATAGGGACCTTGAGGGCACCCTTCACGACCATATCAGCAAGCGTGGCCAAATCCTCAGTACGCGCATCGGCTGTTACCATGTAATACCCCGACCTTTGCAAATTGAAAGGGGAGAAGCTCGACAGAATTGCTCGGGCAAGATCTATACGGCTCGGAGAGTTAGTTGAGATATATTTTCCATCACCCGCCTTCATAGACTTTCTCGCGAGAGGCTCATAGTTCATATCTTCAGGGCTAGACACCGTATCAAAAACAACATCAACACTGCCAGTTGGACATTGTTTATTCGGGAAAGCGAATCCACTCTTAGTGTAATCCACAACCTCATCTGCTCCTAGAGACTTCACGAACTCCTCGTTTTTACCGCTGCAAACACCCCAGACCTTTGCACCAAGACTCTTGGCAATCTGTACACCCATACACCCAACGCCACCACTAGCGCCAATGATCAATACATTCCTAGTAGATTCACTTATACCAGCCTTACGAAGAGCCAGAAGTGCGGTATCACCCGCAGTGGCAAGCCCAGCAGCCGTAGTGTGGTCCATCCCATCAGGCACTCTAGCAATACGACTCGTATCAGCAGTTGTGTACTCAGCCAACGCCCCCTTCATCGTCACACCATAGACCACATCCCCCTCGTTGAAGTCACCGTTTGGAACTGTCACTTTCCCCGCAAAGTCAAAGCCAGCCGGACGGCCCCTGAGGAGATATGAGCTGAAGGGGACCATCATAGGCAACTTGTAGTCCAGAGGGTTTATGCCAACTGCCAACACTTTCACTTGAACTTGTGAACGCCCTGGTTTGGGAATCTTCAAGTCCCCATCATGCCAGACCATCTCCCCAGCCTTGTTTGCATATGTGAATGCCTTCATAATGAAAGGAAAATAATAATACTGATTACCGTGAAG